GTTTCATACTTTGAATACGCTTTTTAAAACACAGCCTTCAATGCAAACCACAGTTTCAAATATTCATTTGTTTAAAACTAAAATATCATTCCGAGGCCATTTTCAGAATGATCCAATTCAACCTTAAAACCAACCAAACCCTACAAGGAAAATAAAGTTTTTACAAAGAAGTCATTTACTTTGGTTTAATTATAACAAAACGAGCATCTGATGGTGATCTCACCTGTGGTCGTCTCTGTACCACTCAAAGGAGGCTGGTGGGACGGCCATTGCGTCACAGCGCAACACAGCCGTCTTCCCCAAATGGGCTGGCATGTTCTTCATGTCTGTGATCATGGGGGGATCTGGCAGGAGGAAAACCAGGGTGTAGAAAGTAAATAAACAGCAAGAGTGGGGATTCAGTCATTAGTAAACAAAAGTCTAGTAGGGTTTTGCCCACGAGGTTGAAAAATGCCCAGAGTGAATGAAATTAAAATGTATACATAACAATGCGTGTACAAGCATTTGCATATATTGTCAATCCATAATTATGCTCGTGAGGTTCAGCTGAATTATCACCACCAGGCAAGTGTTCTGCACGTGGAGTGGGGTACTTACAGTTAACCGTGACTTTGACCTTGCGCTGGTCGGGCGGCGCCACACCGTTGTGGGTGATGCATTCGTAGTCTTCAGCCTGCTGCCTCTTGATCTCGGTGATGTCTAAGAACTCCCCCTCACTCACCAGCCCATCTAATTGCACAAAAGTTGAAGTCAAAGGTCACCATTTATCAAATGCAAGGTGACTCAGACAACAGATTTATGGGTCACAACTTGAGGCGCTTTTAGCTTAAGACGATTTAAGAGCATGGGCAAGGCCGACGTGCCAATGAGAGAAAATAAAGCAGTTCTGTTTTGGAGTGCTGACTCGCAGGGATGGTGTGGTGAAAATCAATGTAATTTTAATTAAACCTATAGTATATTATGATAATAAGTTTATGGACTACTAAAGACGTGTTGTGTAAATACAAAGTAACACTATCTGACATCGTAACACCATTACTTTTATAACGCTGAGGGGKAATCCTGCGAGCTTTGCTTTGAAGCGCCGGGTGCATCATGGGGAAACGGCTAAATCACCACATTACATGGCGAGAGRAATATTTGTCGGTTATTTGATGTTGACAAACTCCCAGGTGCGGCTAAAACCAAATTAGTCAGTCTCACACATTCGCTCTTTCTCCTTGGGCGACGAACATCTCTTCAGAGGAGGAGAGCCGAGGGAATGGACCACAAGTTATTGCTCCTTCATGCGAGGGAATAAACGCTGAGTGTTATTGGCTCAACAGCAGAAAAAAAGAAGAAAAAAAAAAAAACAGCTTGAGCGTGAGTGTGCACCTCCTCCTCCTCCAAGCTAGCCTTAGCAGCAGCTGTTTCCAGGAGCAGTAGGCATTTTTTTTGCCCTCCCGTTTAACCAATTAAAAGAAGTCAGACGGTGGAACGTGGTATAATATTAAATTGGAAATCTGGCTTATTTATTACTCATAATTTTTGTACCGTTTAAAGTCCCTAGTTGAAAATGAAAAAAAAAAAAACCTCACTAAAATACAGTCAATTGGTCAAACAGCCTCAGAGCATGAGAGCAAGACAAAAACACTAAACACACACCACAAACACAGAGCTGTGATTCTAACTGAAGGTTTTTCTTGAGGATTATTATTGTGGCCACTGAGCTAGAGGTGATTTTTTACAACTGAGCGACAACAACAGCGATGGCTTCTTGTGCTACCCAACATGGTTCAGGCTGCTGCTGAGTGTAGCGATGGGGTGGGCTAAACTCGTTCCATTAGTTTAATAAATATACTGTAGCGCCCTTGCGATATCTCTGTTAAGCAGGCGGAGCATTCAACTTGTCAGAAAGGGGGATGTGTGGTGATAACCATAAACATTTGATAAATCACGAAAAGCCGCAACAGATGACTTGCGAGGAATAAAGATGACAAAGGAAATAAAATATGGAAGTAATCAAGCGCTAGATTGTGCGTCACATAGATAAATGGGTATTATGAAAGGGCCTGGATGAGATGCGCTGAAACGAGATGGAGRAAACAACAAGAGCAAACGTGTGAGAGGTGTAAAGTAGTTTTTTTTTCCGTTTTCCACGGACAACTCATCGACAGTTCCCACAGAATGTACGATACAATATGACAGCCCTTTCTTGCTCCGTCCCATGAGATCTGCGAACCTGCCTGGCACACTTCTCTACACTTTGGTGGGAGATCATATCTGAGTGGAGCCGGCCTCTGGCACCCCTACAATGGTCAGTAAAATACAGCTCCATCAACCACTTATGGCTTTTGAAGGAGGCTAACTCCTGACCACCAGAGATAATTGGATTCTACCTTGRAGGAAGAGGAGGTGGAAGAGGAGTGGAGGAGGGTGCGAATGAAAAGCGGAGGGGGGGAAGAATCAGAAGTGTTGGCTTTCCCTACAGTGAAACTGTGCTCCAATTCCCTGGCAGTGCTGTAAGCCTGACTGGATCTTCAGGGCACTTGATTTCTGGGCTCCTCTTATCCATTTCCATTACAAAAMCTAAAGTCGCAGCAAAGAGGTCTGAAGTTAGAAACAGAGAGAGGGATAGACTGGCTGACAGGACTYATTACTGGCAACAGTAAGGGGCTGAACTGCATGCTTTTTCATTTGCAGCAAACTAAAACAGCCAGAACCTTAAGKTTTTTCAAATTTGTATTAAAATTGAGAGCTACAGGATGAGATGATTGAAGTTTTGGTTTGAAAATCTATAAACTGATTACTTATTCTGTTACGGTCGGTGGAGGATTGAACCCAATGTGCAGACAAAACTGGGAACTCGTAAAAAGGTAAAACTAAATACATAAATAAAATGGATGGGTGGACAGAATAGGAGGCACTGTCTCGTATCAGTGTCAGATCCCAGGCTGTCAGAGTGTCGAAACATCAAGCGCTTTCCCACAAAGAGTTGGAGCCATCTATAAACACTTTCAATAAGTCTGCACATCACACAACTTTGCCTGAGGAAATTATGCACAGTTCAAAGTGCATTGACGTACCAGAGTTACCAGGGGGAACCCAGAGGTGCTTTAGAACTAAAGACAAACAAACAAGCAGGGAAGGAGCAACCAGCCTGAAGGTAATCACAAGTTCATAAATAAACACCTTCACCGGTATTGTCTAAAGTGCCAAACAAAAGTTTAGGTTAAAAAATCTGCTACTGTGAAAAAACAAGACTTGTGTTGATTCAAACAAGACAGTACATTAGCTGTGCAATTCAATATTTTGAAATTTAAAAACGTAAAARGGCATTTGTATGAATAATATATATCCTGTATATATTTTGTATATATTTTAGAGCTAGACAATAAATCAATAATATATGTTACAACAGACACATGATCAACATCAATAATGAACAGTAACAATATACTGTATATCACAATATCAATTTCAATAGAAAATATATCTGATAGAATGTTGATAATTTCACTGAACTCCAGAACTGCATATAAACAAGCTTTAGCCACACATCGTCTCAYAGCCCAGCTAAGAAAGGTTGGTGGCATCATCTAACTCACTCACTCTTTGATAAGATAGCAACAACCATTTAAGACAGAGATTCTTAACCTATGGGCCGCGGCCCAATTGTGGGCCATGAGCGCCACCTTGAGGGCCTCAAAAGAACAAGAGTTTTTAACTGTGGGCCGCAGAGGGCCGTGGGACCGCATTGATTTTGAATGAGGTGCAATACACATTCTCACCACTAGTAGCAGTAGTGTGTCACTCAGATGTTTAATAACTTTTTTTAATATGTGGAAGAAGAACCTTAGAAACCTGCTGAGAATGGAACCCTATTTTAAATGAAAAGTAGAAGAAAAAATGAAAGTAACTCACCAAAAAACACCAAAGTTTGTCACTAACATGAAGTGCAGCTTCTGTTTTTACCATGCATTAGTGTAAAAGTTCAAAACATTATCAAATACATTTGCAGATACAACTATATTTTAATTTGCACCTAAAATAAATTTTGTAGTTTATTTTTAAATGTTTTTAATGTATTTTAAAGAAACTTTAAACTTGTCAAAAAGCTGTTGTTACTGTTATTGTTTGTCACTAATACAGCGGGTAAAATAAGTATTGAACACGTCTCCATTTTTCTCAGTAAATATATTACTAGAGGTGCCAATG